GTTTCTTTGACTTTTTATTTATTTTTATTTTTTTTGAAAAATTATATTTTAACATTGTATCTACTAGTAATTGAGCCATAATTTTTTTTATTTTGCTTTTTAAAGAAATTATCACGTTATCGTTTAATTTATTCAAAATTATTTTTCAGATTTTATTTTATATTTTTTTTTACGAGATTATCACAATTTTAAACCCATAGCAGCAGAGTCTGCGAGTAAATCCGGTTAACCAAAATTTATTTTTTTTGTAGTTTTTTTAATTTTTACATTTAAATATTAGATTGTTTAGTAATTTATTTTTACTATTAATTAATTTATTATCATTATATTTTTTTATTCATATTATTTATAGATGAATCTGTCACCCTTTAAAAATTCTAATCGCATGAATGTCGGGCTACATCATAGAATACTTCTGTAAGTGATATAAAATGATACTGATATAAATTTTAAAAAAAAATATTTGATAAGACTTGAACCTGAACATTTAAGCTTGATTATCTTATTTTTATTGGATTTAAATTTTTAATATAAAATGAAGCTTAAATCTTCACAATCCTAACATGAATATCAAATTTAATCTCAACACGAGGAGGTACTTGATGGTTTTAAAAAAAAAAATCTTTCTCGAGACATTGAAATGTTTTTTTTTTAAATTAGTAAATAAAAAGAACTAAAATTAATAAAAAATAGTCTCCGCATACAAAAAAAAATCTATATATATATATTATTTATAATTATAAAATTTAGCTTAATCTAGTGATCCATCTAATACTGTACTCACTCAAAACCTGATTTGAGCTATATTTTATTTAAAAATTATTTTTTAATTAAAACATTATTGTTTTTAATTATTTGTAAATTTTTAAAACAACATTATTTTAAAAAAATATATTTTTTTTAAAAAAAGAATAAATCATAACTTAACCCGCCAGCCTACAAATCAATCTGCCCTTTCAACAGTTCAAGCCTTGTACTGGTTGGATACTATGAAATTATACATACATACATACATACATACATACATACATACATA